CTATTTTTTCTTACATGTATATGAAGCCTTAATAAGATAATACAATGAAACACACAATTTTTTTTAGTGTATGTGCTAGGGATGTAACCCAGGGCCTTGCTCTTGCTAAGCAAGTGCTTTATCACTGAGCTTAAGCCCTGGCAGCTGGGGTCGAATCATTGACACAGACTAGCTGTGTGACACTGGCAAAAGCACTTAACCTCTCTGAACTTCAGTTTCTTCATCTGAAAAACTGGAGATGATATTAAGAATGTAATGGGTGAAGACTAAATGAGTTAAAATATGTAAGACATCTAAAAAATAAACAATAGCATAAAAATGACTACTATGCTATTTTCACAAAGTGAGAGTCACCATATTTTTCAGTACTTGAAGTAGGACAGAATTAAAGTAAAAATAATTTCAAATGTATTGTCTCTATACAAGTGATTGAGGACCTTGGAATTGGGGGTATCATTAGAGTTTGGGGAAGGAGTAGAAGAGCCTATGCTGAGAGACAAAGGAGCGGGTAAAGGGAGACAGAGAAGGAAAAGGATGGCCTACAACCCACTCCAGGGTGGACTCACATGTGCTGGGTGAGCACTCTACCACTAAAGGAGGAAAAGGAAGCCTCTATTTAATCATCCTCACCTTTAGCCTCAGGGAGCTGATTGCTAGGAGGCAGGCAGTCCAAACCACAGAGCCATCTTCCAACGACGATACTGATTGTGGGGGCCAAACCAAGGGATCATTAAGTCCTGAAATGAACAGATCATCTTTCAGTTTTACACAGACAGATCGCCTGGGTCTGGCTTGTTCATTGTGGTCTGTCTGGATCTGTTGGAAAATAAAGAAAGTCCTACATTTTAGTTAAAAATTCCAAAAAGCCACATTCAGCAAAACATGCAATGCTGGAAATATGTCTTTATCCTCATTCCTCCAGGGTCCTACAATCACCTATTCCTCTTTTCTTTCCCCTACCCCAGTATTTCCCACTCAAAACTCACTTTCCTAAGCCATCCTCAGATAGAACTGATAGTAATTTAGGAAACTAATTTGCTTTTTCTCAGGAGTCAAAACCTTCATTATGTCAAAGAGAATATGTTTTAATGGTAGGAGTTCAGATTAGCTTAATATGTTAGAGAATGCATTGATGGGTTTTCTGCCAGTGAAACCACAATGTGAGAGCTCTTTTCCAAATACTAGCATTTGGTGATTTTGTAAAACCTTGTACTTGAAAGTGAATGGTTTGGTTTCTGTTTAAGGAATTTCTTTGGTAAGAAATTATTCTGATATTGCTATTATTTTTTTTCTCTGAATTTTGGTTTGCTGATTTTTTTCACCTTTTAAATATTGGTTCACAATGTTTTTCTTTTGCTTTATTGTATTTGAGACTCAGGATTGTAAACAAGACCTTCAATTCCCTTGCCTAACATCAGTAGATGGCAGCACACACTCTCCTGTGAAGGGTAATGGGTGAGGGGACGCCATTTTATTTGAACAGCAGTTAAATTCAGAAGCAGAATCCCAGGAAAATGGTTGTCTTTTGGTAATCCTCATGAAAGGATTTATTTCCAGATTTTTTTTAACCTACATACCATGGAAATAAAAGTTGAATAATTTACTACCATGGAGCCTCATTAACTGAACCCTGCCAATAAGAATTGGTCATAATTCAGAAAGTGGCTTGGGCTGAAGCTTATTTTGCTTTTGATCAGTCTATGGAAAAGAGTCTGCTCAGCAACTTAATAGTAAAACTTTCTTAGAAAACTATAAACTACTTAGTAAAACTATGGTTTCAAGTGACTTTAAAATCATCGTTTCATTAGGGGAAAAAAGGGTCAGGCACTTACCCATTAATAAATGACTTGAAAAATATGGCTTTTAGTGATGTGGAAATCTTCAGACAATTTGAAAAATAAAATAGCAACTCAGAAATTGCTAAGTGGGTGGTATTCTATAGAGACAGCTCATGTAAAATATATTCTTTATCCCATATTAAACTATGAGGCATTTATAAAAGATAATGCCTAATTTTAATTGAGTTCAATTAAATAAATATTCACTGAGTATTTGATACATTTTATAAACAGCATTGAGGAAGAAGGCACTAAGGATATAGAGGTGATACGACATGACTCCTGTCTTTAAGAAACTGTGTCAAAGGGGATGGCAAACAGATGGATAATATGATCCAGTAAGGAGACCGGAAAAAAAGGAAAAGCTAAAGAGTGAGAGAGGAAAACTATAGTAGTAGCACAGAGAGGGTAAGTTACTAACTTTATTCAAAGGGATCAGGGATAACTTCCTCAAAGAGGAAACATCTGCGTATTAAGGCATGAATAGAAGCCTACCCTGAAGAAAAATGGGAAGGACATTTCAGATAAAGACTTGACATCATATGCCTAGGACTCTAATGTATTCAGTGTTAATTGAACAAAGAATCAGTAGTGGAGGGTTTTGTTGGAGTTACAGAAGAGGCATCTAAGCTGTTAAGCAGAAGCTAATCTTGAGCTGCAATTAAGTTTGTTTTGATTAGATGAGAAGATTCTAGTGGTAAAAGATGTGATGGGGAGAATTAGAGCTGAATCATGAGAAACCTTGTACTCAATGCCAAAAACTTTAGGCCTTACCCTGTAGATGATAGGGAACCATCCTGGTGTCCTGAACCACAGAGAATCAAATGTTTTGATCAGGTATCTATTTCCAGCATCATGGGAGAGGTGTGGACTCTGATCTGAAATAGGCAGAGGGTGGAAACAGGAAGTCTATTTAGGAGGCTGCTGGAATAATTCAGGCAAACGATGATGAGAATCAAATAGAGAATTAGGATTCACATATATAATGAATAAGGTTGATAAATGTTCATTATTTTCTATAGAAAAAATTACGAAGCAAAGAAAAAGTTGATGAGAGCCCAAGTAAAGAAGCAGTAATAAACAAGGGACAGATAGAAGAGATGTCTAGGAAGTAAAGAGATGCCAACTTGGTAGGAAACCAAATGAGCCAGTGAGGTAAAGGATGAATCAAAGATGATCATATTTCTGACCAGGCTATAGAGTGGGTGAATTGACAGTAGTACTGATTGAGACTGGAACTACTAGAAAAAAAGTTATATCAACTCATATTGCCTAAGTGTTATTTAACCTCATGTAAACATAGACTTCCTTTACGAAAAAAAAAAAAAAAAAAACAAGAACCACCTCAACAATCTGATGAATAGTCCATGAGTGAAACACTTTACTAATTTTTTTCTGTATATGATTAGATATGAATTAAGCTGTCCATTGGCCCAGAGAATAGATATTGTCTAAATTTGCGTGAGGCATCATCTATAGACACAGCACAGCATTCAAATACATAATTGCTTTTTTTAAAAAAATATTTATTTTTTAGAAGTAGTTGGACACAATATCTTTATTTTGTTTATTTATTTTTATGTGGTGCTGAGGATCAAACCTAGGGCCTCACATGTGCTACACGAGCGCTCTACTGCTCAGCCACAATCCCAACTCCTACATAATTGCTTTTTAAAAAACATTTTATAGTAGATGGATACAATGCCTTTATTTTATTTGTTTATTTTTATGTGGTGCTGAGGAGGGAACCCAGTGCCTCACATGTGCTAAGCAAGTGCTCTGCCCCTGAGCCACAACCCCAGCCCCATAATTTCTTATTCTAATCCATTTAATAGACAAATATTTGTTGAGTGGCAGCCACTGTACTAGGCACTGAAGTTAGAGGTGAAAAGCCAAATCTCGTGGCCTCCAGGAAAAGCATGTGATTCTCATTAGAGGGATCAGAGAAGACTTCAAAAAGGAGAGTGTTTTAAGATTATATTTAAATGATAATTATGAATTCATGAGTTAGATGGGAAGGGGAATTGGAATGTCTATATAAAGACCTATCCATTGGATAGTGATGGCATGTAAATTCAAGGTAGTACAGAGAGAGAGAAGAAGAAGAATACTGAAGAATACCAACACTGGTTAATAGGAGCCAGATGGTACTGGATGGTGAAGGACCTGTGCACAACTAGAGAATTTGGTTTTGATCCTTCAGTGATCAGAAACTTTTAAGTGCTTTCTTAGAGATTGTTTAGAAAACAGGAAAAATAGAGAGTTATTGCTAACAAGTACAAGGTACCTTTTGAAAATGATGAAATTTTCTAAAATTACATCATGATGATCTTTACACAAGTCTGCAAATATACTAAAAACTATTGAATTGTGTGCTTTAAATGGCTGAAGTTTATGCTATGTAAATCCTATGTCAATAATGCCATTTAAATATTTGAAGCACTAGTAGGGCCCTAGGTCCAGGGATGTATGTTTTTAAAAAGTGAAAGTCTCATTACTTTATGATCAAACTTTGTTCTTCATTATACCCATCCCTATCTCTCATTGTTCTTAGAACAGAACTAGGTGTACAGTAATTACTCAGTAGAAACTTGTACAGCAGAATTGAATGTAGTGTAGTGATTAACTTTATTCCAAGTCAGAGAATTCATCTTTCCAATAATAAAGTTTAATAAAAGTGTCTAAAAAAATTCTTAGATGTTTTCATTTCCTAATCTACAATATTAGGAAATGAAAACTTTGTGACCAACCCTGTTTTGTTTTCCAAACATCATCAATTCGTGCTGGGGTTGTGGTTGGGTGGTAAAGTGCTTGCCTAGCACATGTGAGGGGAGGTACTGAGTTAGATACTCCACAGCATATAAAAATAAAGGTATTGTGTCCATGTACAACTAAAAAAAACATAAAAACGTCATCAAACTTTAATATAAGCATCATGGATAATTATTACTACTTTAATTCATATGTTACTATTTGTTTTTAAAACAAATGAAAAGTAGCATGTTTCATAAATATGGGAGTATTTGCTTAACTTTTGTCATTGACTTTATTAGAGGGAAATCAATCAGTTTAAATCAATCACTCTCTCTCTCTCTCTCTCTCTCTCTCTCTCTCTCTCTCTCTCTCTCTCTCCCTCTCCCTCTTTCCCCACCTCTCTCTTAGGAAGCATTGTGAGTGTTGGAGACCCAAAGAAAAAGTACACAAGATTTGAAAAAATTGGTCAAGGGTAAGTGATGGTTATTTGAGATATCAAAAGATGAGCACCAGCAAGAGATATTAAAATTTAATAACAGCTTGGATTCCTGCCAATTCATGCTTGTCATTTCTTGGATTGTGTTTGTGTTTACAATCTTAATATTGGTCTTTCAAGCTGACAGACTGACTGATAAGTAAACCTACAAACATATCTGCTGGATTCCCAAGGATCTGGTACCAGAGATTTGACTTAGAAGTCTGTCATGGGCTCTAGGAATCAAAACTTTGCAAAAAGTTCCTGATATTCCTGATCATCAGCTAGACATGGGAACCAGTGTTAGATCACTGGAGCTGAAGGGAGGGGTCAACGGTTCTGCAAGTCAGCTATAATTAGGTATATCTTTTAGGCCTTAGTGTGATACTAAATGGGAGGGCCTGAGTAAGCAACAGTGTTTGAAGTAGAAAAGTTCTGTATAAAAAAAATTGTGCCTTCCTAAGTCACAATCCTCAACTCATTTGCTTCATTCCTCAATGGTAAATACTACAAGACAGGTTGTAAACAGACAATGTCATGCATTGAAGGGGACTAAGAAAAGAAAATCTGGATTTAGATTTTATTTTAATTGGTGAAGAATCTGGGAGTGCTATCAGTAAAGGTGAGATATACACTCCATTTGGAAATAGCCCTCCAGATCGTTGTTATTCAATATGGTAGTCATTATTTACATTTGGCTGTGGAGCATTTGCAATTTGGCTAGTCCAAATCAAGAGATATGCTGTAAATATAAAATATACATCTAATTTTGAAACAATATGAAAAAATGTGATATATCTCCTTGGTAAATTGTATATTGATTACATGTTGAAATGATAAAACAACAGATGTTGAATTAAATAAAATATACTATTATAATTAATTGTACTTATGAAAACCTTTTAAACTGTAACACTAGGAGGTTTATAATAGGGTTTACATTAGGTTCTTTTTCTTTCTAAATATTTTGTTGTTACAAATTGACATAGTGGTGTACATATTTATAGGCAACTGTGTGATGTTTGGTACATGCAAATATCACATAATATTCAAATCAGGGTGAGCATATCTATCTCCTCCAGTATTTATCACTTCCTTGTGCTGAAAACATTCCAAGTCTTTTCTTCCAGCTTTTTAAAAATATACATTACATTATCATGATCTATAGTCACCACACTGTGAAATAGAGCAACAAAACTTATTTCTCCTAACTATAATTTAGTATCCATGGATGAGTCTGTCCCCAACCCTTCTTCCCCACTACACTCTCCAGCCTCTGGTAACCATTATTTTGCTCTTAACTTCTATAAGATCAACATTTTTGCATTATACATATGAGTGAGTTCATGGACTATTTTTCTTTGTCTGGCTTATTTTACTTATTATTCTCCAGTTCCAGTCATGTTGGTGCAAATGACAAGCTTTCATTTTTTTAATGGCTGCATAGTGTTCCATTGCATATATGACCATATTTTCTGAATCCATTCATTAGTTGATGGATACTTGTGTTGATTCTATTTCACTATTGTGAATAGTCCTGTAGTAAACAGGGGAGTTCAGATATGTCTTTGACATGCTGATTTGATTTCCTTTGGCTATATTACCAGTAGTGGAATTACTAGGTCATATGGTAATTCTATTTTTAGTATTTGGGGGAACTTCCATTCACATTCTCACTAACAGAATGTGAAGGTTCCCTTTTCTTCACATTATTGCCAACACTTGTTATATTAAGTATTCTTGAAGATAGTCTTTGTTAGTGGAGTGAAATGATACCTCACTGAAATTTTGATTTGTATTTCCCTGATGAGGAGTGATATTGAGCATTATTTTCTGATACCTGTTGGATATTTGTATGTGTTTTTTAAGAAATATCTTCTCAGGTCTATTTTTTTTTTGGGGGGGGGTTTGTTTTTTTCCAGTACTGGGGATTGAACCCAGGACCTATCTATTTGTACCCAGCCCTCTATCACTGAGCTATATCCCCAGCCCTATTACCCTTTTTTAAAAAAAAAATGTATCCTTTTTCACATTGAATTGAGTTTCTGGTATATTCTGAATATTATCTTCTTATCAGATATATAGTTTGTTAATACTTTCTATCATTCTGTAAGTTGTTTCTTTGCTTTATTTTTTCCCTTTGCTATGCAGAAGCTTTTTGTTTGATATAATACCCTTTGTCCTATTTCCACCTCACATTATCTTTCTAATGGACAGAATTGCTTTAATTGTAGGATTAAATGGGAGCTATTTATTTATTTATTCACAAAGAGCTTTCTTCAAACAAAATTCTTTTTTAGAGGTGGGAATGAGAGATGTTATGATTTTGTTTTGATTGTTCATTCCCACCAAGACCCAACTGAGCCAACAATAGCATTGAATTTAAAAAGGAAAAAAAAAAGTAAGAAATGGTTTCAAATATCTCCCAGGTAATGAAGCAAGACTAATTCCTACAAGAACAAAGATTAGGCCACCAAGCAACTTTGCATACCAAAGAGATTTCCCCTTCTGCCTGTTATTTATACCCTGACCTCTAAAGGTGAAAAGTAAAGTTCTTTATTTCTGAGTACCTTTGTAAAGTCTGGATAATCTAAACTAAAACATCAAAGCAGAAATCCTGCTTGCCTTCTGCAGGAAGGTTTATTTTAAATTTCCACTGAGTTCATCATTTTAAAGAATGGTGGAATCACCAGATAGTTCACTTGCAGGCGAACAACCTTTTCATAAGCCTCAGAGGATAAGGATTCTATTTTATTTCTCCTTTTGTCTCCTTTAGTATCTAGCATAGTGCTTCCACCCATACTAGGCCTTCAAAAAAATTTATACAGTTATGGTCAACAGCCAACTTCATTTTGGCTGCACTCAAAGTTTAACTACCAAGCTTCCCTCCTCTGCTGCCCCCATTGCTCTGGGACTGTTTTTTGCATCAATAAATATTTGTTGAATTAATGAAAATGTTTGTCTTTATAGCTTTCTCTTTCCTTTGGCTTTTCATGTGTGTATGCATATGTGACTTGTGTGTTTTCACTCTTGCTCTTGCTCTCGTCAATGTATCTTCATCTCCCATAATGATTTAGTCTTTCTCACCACATCTTATTCTTTGTCCTTTGGATATTGCACACATCTTTTTTCATGCATGTTTGCTTCCCCTTCTACTGTCCTCTCTGTGTCTCTCTCTCTCTCTCTCTCTCTCTCTCTCTCTCTCTCTCTCTCTCTCTCACACACACACACACACACACACACACACACACACATCCCAAATGGTCATAATATAAACTGAAGATATATTTTTATAAAATCAAGATGTATTTTCAAAATAGCTTTTAATATAAAATCTAGCAACTTGAATATATTTATTTAATGTGATTTTATCATTTGTTTACTAATTTTATTTTTTGTTCTTAGTATTCTCTGTTGTTAAGTTTAAAGTAAATGAGCAAAATATTTCTTTTTTTTTCTGTAGATTCAGAAAACCACTCATATATTAACTTGGTTTTTACTTACATGGCTCTCAATTTATTTTTCCATGAATTACTGGCCTAAATTAGACAAACTAGTTCTACTCTCAATATATAGAGCTTTTATTTTCTTTTCATTAAGTGTGGGGTTTTTATTGTTTTGTTTTACCTATTGTTGTGGCATCATTCAAATTGTTTCGGTAACCATTCAATGCTAGGAATAATCAACCCCAGTATTCCATTTTCAGCTTCAGGGAATACAACAGCTCACTCTTGGGAACCAGATTTAAGAAAAAACCTCTTCATTAATCACCCTTGACTACTTGGGAAACTAACTTTTTTCCAGAATGGGTTTCTGCCACTCCAGCATTCAGACCTGGAGCCAAAGCATTGGGATCCGTCATCCATAAGTCAAGTTCAGAATTCCAAGTCTAATAATTTGAAGACATAGCTGAAGAGTCAAAAGCTAAAGATGATATTATTTCACTCTGTTTGCTGTGAAAAGTGTTCTAAAATTGGCCATTTTGAGTACATGCATACAAAGTGAAATTATGAAGAGAGGTAAGGAGGGGGGAGACAAAGAGAGAGAAGGAAGAGAAGGAAGAAGAAGGAAGGAAAGAAAGAAAGAAAAAAGGGAGGCATGGAAGGAAGGAAGGTACTTCCCAAATTGTCATTAACAACATGAATTCATCTGAGATGTATGTGGTGGAAACAGAAGAATCTTCACTCTCTAGGATAGTTATGTAAAAGAACTTGTTTGATAAATGTGGTAGGATGAGACAACAAAATCAAATATTTATTTTCCATTAGCAGCCTTCGTTGGCAAGCCTGTATAATTCCCAAATAAGTAGTAGCTATGTAACAGAGGGCTGAATTTACTAATGTTGGCAGCTGTTCCCACAGATTTCTCATTAATACATTGAATTCACTTTAAGACCTTTCCTTAAATGAGAATGCACTGAAAAATAAGCCCTTTTCCCCTTCAGTTTCATGTTATATTTTCTCTTCATCAGTGTAATAAAAACATTTGTGAGGCAGCAACTTTAAAGAGAGAGTTTAGAACCAGTTTAACAAATACATTTTTCTTTCAGTGAACTTCTATCCTGTGCCTACTATGTATATAATACTGTTCAGAATCAGGTTCTGGGACTTCACAGCGACTTCTGTGTTCATTTTCCCCCTAAATATCTGACAGCGAGAAAAGGGGAATTGTATCAAAATATAAGCATACCCCCTTCCCCCATGCATATGCCTTTCTCTGATATTTTTGCCCACACACTTATCTTCACACTTATCACACTTACCTTCATCTCCCCCATAGATCCCTCCTTGGCTTCTCTGATCCTAATTGTCCTTTTCTGTCTTCTACCCTTCAGAACCTTATAGATTATACCAGCATCAGCATGTATTTACTTCTTACACCTTAGCTTGTCTAGACAGGTAAAATTCCTTAAAAAGAGGCAAGATTGTAAACTCAGAAAGCTGTGGACAAATTGTTTAATTTCTTTAAGCATCGGTTTCTCCTTCATAGTAAAGCAT